TAGTAGCACCCGCACCTCTAGAATCTGTTACCTACACAGACTTAAAGAAATTGCTAAAGGAACACTTCCAGCCCAAGTTGTCTGTCATCGCTTGGTGCCACACTTTTGAACAGAGGGACCAACGGCCCGGCGAATCAGCTAAAGAGTACATTGCTGCATTGAGAAAAGCCGCTAAACCCTGCGAGTTTAAAGATTTAGAAGAAAGGCTGAGAGACAGATTTGTATGTGGACTGAGACATAGAGAATTGCAGCAGAGACTTTTCGCTAAAGAAGACTTATCATTCCAAGATGCCTTGAGAGAGGTTACTGCAGAAGAGGCAGCAGGTGGTGCAATCAAGAACATGAGGCCGATCAGAAGTACTCCAGAAGCTGTGTCCGTGCACCAGGAAGGAGTCCAAGGGAGCTCAGAAGAGGATCCTGATGAAGAAGTAGACCGTCTCTACCCAACAAAAGAAGGGAAGCAGAAGGAAGGCAAGGAAAGTTCTTCAGCTGTCCCCAAGTGCTTCGGATGTGGAGGTCGTCACAAGAGGACCGACTGCAGATTTCGCTCTGCTATCTGTAGAGCATGCGGAAAGCAAGGCCACATTGCAGCTGTGTGTCTGGGCCGTCAGAAGGTACAACCCCGAGAAGAATTGCGCCTGAAAGGTACCAGGGTCCCCAGCCAAAACAGGGTGGGTTTCTGTGCTTCGCGAAGAAGCATCTATAGGACAGGCACACACAAGCCCATTAAGAAAAAACTGTCACTTAAAGTGAAGTTACAAGGGGTTCCATTGGTCATGGAACTGGACACTGGGTCTGCACTTTCAATCATTTCCATACATACATTCAGAAAGATTTGTTCTGGCAGTGGATTTCAGGCCAAGCTTAGGCCTTCTGACATTGTGTTTACAGACTTTCAAAACTCCAGAGTGTGTGTTAAGGGGGAGGCCACCCTTAACGTACAGTATAAGGATTTTAAAGGTCCATTAGATGTATTGGTAGTAGGGGGTGAGCAAACGAGTCTCATAGGACTCAATTGGTTTGAGGCCTTGGGAATACATGTCACAGGGCTCAATAGCTTGCAAACAATAGACCTACAGGAAGTCTGCAAAGAATTTGCAGATGTCTTCAGCCCACAGCTGGGCACATACAATGGACCCCCTGTGTCTTTAAAACTAGACCCCACTGTCACTCCTATTAGAATAAAAGCAAGAAGGGTCCCTTTTGCTCTAAAAGGGAAAATTGACACTGAATTAGACAAATTGATTCAGCAAGGAGTCTTAGAACCTGTTGACTCCAGTCCTTGGGAGACCCCCATTGTCATGCCTCTTAAGGCTAATGGGGACATTCGCATCTGTGCAGATTACAAATGCACTCTGAATAAGGCATTGCAGCAACATGCCTATCCTGTACCTCTGGCCTCCCTCAAGGGGGGGGCGTGTTTTTGCAAAGCTTGACTTAGCTCAGGCGTATCAACAGTTGCCTGTTGACGATGTTGCTGCTGTGGCTCAAACCATTGTAACCCACAGGGGGGCATTCAAAGTAAAGAGGCTACAATTTGGAGTAAATGTGGCTCCTGGAATTTTCCAAAGCATAATGGAAAACACACTACGGGGTATACCAGGGGTTTGCCCCTATTTTGATGATGTCTTAATTGCTGGAGACTCTACCCACAACTTAGCTGAGAGACTAAGGGCTGTTCTGCTGAGGTTGCAGAAAACGGGCCTCAAACTCAAGAACGACAAATGTAAAATTGGGGTGCCTTCTACAGATTTTCTGGGATTCAAAATCGATGCTACTGGGATTCACCCTGGTGAATCCAAATTAAAAGCTATAATGCATGCTCCTAGGCCCAAGTCCAAGGCCGAACTACAGGCCTTTCTGGGCCTTTTGAACTTCTACAATTCCTTCCTTCCAAACAAGGCTAATGTAGCCGAACCACTTCACAGGCTCCTGGACAAACAGGCAGTGTGGCAGTGGTCACAAAAACATGAAGCAAGTTTCAATGAGGTTAAGGCCTTACTCACTTCTAACAGTGTGCTTGCACATTTCAATGAGTCCCTTCCTGTTTGCATCACTTGTGATGCTTCTCCTTATGGAGTGGGAGCAGTACTAAGCCACCTCAGACCGGATGGAACTCAGGTTCCTATTGCATATTACTCCAGAACCTTGTCTTCTGCAGAGCGAAATTATGCTCAAATAGACAGGGAGGCTTTAGCTGTTGTTGCTGGAATCAAAAAGTTCCATGATTTCTTGTATGGCAGACATTTCACGGTCTTCACTGATCATAAGCCTTTGTTGGGGCTGTTTACCACACATAAACAAACCCCCCAAATCATCTCCCCCAGAATGCTGAGATGGTCAATCTTTCTGTCAGCCTATGATTTTTCTTTAATTCACAAACCTGGGAAAGAAATGGGCCACGCTGATGGCCTCAGTAGATTACCCCTGCCAGTAGTAGAGGCTGATCCTGCACCAACAATCGATATCCTTTCAATTCAGGCCTTGCCTGAGTCTCCTTTAGATGCCAGGGATGTGGTTGCTGAATCAGCCACAGATCTCACACTCTCTCGTGTCCTGTCTTGGGTTTTATCTGGGTGGCCAGACAGCTGTCCAGGTGCTGAGTTTCAGAGTTTCTGGCTTAAAAGGAATGAGTTATCCACTTCCCAGGGTTGTCTGCTGTGGGGCAGCAGAGTTGTCATTCCTACTTCAATGAGGACTAGGGTCTTAGGTTCCCTTCACGAGGGTCATCCTGGCATTGTACGTATGAAGGTGCTTGCGCGCAGCCATTTGTGGTGGCCTGGGTTAGACAAGGACATTGAAGCTAAGGTGCATGCATGCCACCTTTGTCAACGCTCACGCCCAGAAATGTCCCAGGCTCCTGTGCATATATGGGAGGAAACACAGTCTCCATGGTCTAGGGTGCACATTGATTACGCTGGGCCCTTTCAGGGTCAATTCTTCTTGGTCCTGGTTGATAGCCATTCGAAATGGCTTGAGGTTGTACCTGTCTCTTCCACCACCACTGCAAAGACTATTCAAGTACTGAGGGGGATTTTTGCTGCACATGGGCTTCCTGATGTTTTAGTGTCTGACAATGGCCCTCAATTCACTTCCTCCGAATTCCAAGTTTTCTTACAAGCCAACATGATTCGTCATGCCACCTCTGCACCCTTCCACCCTTCCACCAACGGTATGGCTGAACTCATGGTACGCATCACCAAGGATGCTTTAAAGAGACTGACATATGGAGACTGGCATCACAGGTTGGCTGACTTCCTCCTTTCCTACCACACTACACCTTCCACTTCTACCGGGAGGAGCCCAGCTGAACTTCATTGGGGGCGCAAACTGACTACTAAGCTTGACCGGTTGCACCCAGACAGACTGCCTTCTAAATTCACACAACCCAGGGCACCTAGGCAACTGCTAGTGGGTGCCCCGGTTTGGACCCGTAATTATGGGCCTGGTCACTTGTGGGTCCCTGTCAGAGTATCCAAGGTCACAGGTCCTTTGTCCTACGAGGTTTCCCTGGATGACGGTCGTGTCCTGCGACGACACATCGACCAGCTATGCACAAGACGGGACTCTCCTACTGAGACTCCTGGATTTTTTCCAGGGGGGGAGGGGGACCTCTATGGGCAAGGGGAAGGGTGTGGGCTGCAGCCTGTAACCAACGGGGAAGTCACAGATGACCCATCCCAAGATTCCGCGAGTGCTCCAAACAGGAATTCGTGGGGACTAACTAGAATACAGGCACCAGTGCCTACTCCAGCCAGGGAGTTACCCCGGGGGCATAATCACTACACACCAGCACCATTCAGAACTCCAGTCAGGGAGAATAACTGGGAGCATCCAAACAACTCACACCCTGCAAGAGAGCTGGCACACATTCCGTCTAGTTGGCCCAACGCTGCCACTGTCCCTAGAAAGGGGCAAGCACAGAGGGAGGTGGTCGAGGAACCGAATCCTGATTACAACATCTCTGGCATCACTCAGGGGGCAACTGAGTTTTGGGACAGTACCGAGAACCCAGAGAGCCTGCAACTAGGCAGGACAACCAGGTTAAGTAGAGAACAAAGTCCTGGCCTGACGAGCCAGGTGGGCAAGCAAGCAGGCCAGGCGTTGGAGCACAGTCCACAGGGACCACCAGGGTCAAACAAAGGGGACAAACATATAGCTTCCCCCGGGCAAGGGGTACTTGGAGGGAACCAGGAAATTGGGAGGTCACAGAGAGCTAGAAGATCTCCTAAATATCTAGAAGATTTTGTAACTCTGCTAGCAAAGCAGAATTAATCAGAGGGTATTCCTGTACAAGTTGGGAATAATGAACACTGGGGGATGGAAGCCAAAATTGATAACTTGGTACATGGAGCTAGTGTGGCTCCCACGCTCGTGTTGAGGTCGCGTGTCACTATTTATGTGGTTGTAGTTTTAGCTGGGGGGGAAGTGCGAGCGCGCCAAATGTTGCCATTTGGCCCGGGGATCGCCTTTAAAAGGAGCAGAGGAACTTGGGCGTTGTCGGCGTTGTAACCAGCATGCTGTATACCAATAAAGAGGCTCCTGAGAACTACCAACTGCTTCATGCGTTATTTGCCATTTGCTGAGGACTTAACAAACACCATCTTCACTTTCCTTGAAATATTTAATGAAAGTTTGACCAAATAACAAGCAAGGATGTCCTCCCTCCCTCCCTCCCTCCTTCTTTTGTAAACAAATCTTGAATTTTCTTGTACCATTGGCCAGAAACTCAAAATGCATAACTTATACTTAATTGGCCAATTCTCTCTGTGTCTCTCTCTCATGCACACACACACACACACATACATACATGGAGAAAGAGAGAGAGAGAGAGAGAGAGAGAGAGAGAGAGAGAGAGAGAGAGAGAGAGAGAGAGAGAGAGAGAGAATTTTTGTACATGTACTTCAGGCCCAAATAAAAACAAGACAAAGTTTCTGAAGCCTAGAGAATTGTAAAGGATCAGTTTGTTTTGATTGAAAAAGACATAGAAGTTGATTTACCTGCAGCTGTCAATATTGTTTTTATCCACAGCATTAGGAAAGGTGTAAGGTCCCAGGTTATTGATTTCTGTAACTTCTATACAGCCAGTAAAATTGTAGATGGATCCAGCTACCTAAAGAAAAAATAATAAAAGGAGGTAGATATTTCTTGAGGTTATGATTTGAAGTCAATCCAATGCTGAAGCTAATAAGTTCCATCGTCTGGGGAATTAGACCTGATTCTTTATATAGCTTAAATTGCAATTACATTATAACATCATTTTGTAAAAATAAAGATTTTACTAATGATCCCAGAAAAGTTAGCTTTCAGGATGACACATTAGTGCTCAGCATGTTTTCTCTTTGGAAAGCAAAATAATGATCATTGGAGGCTATATTTAGATACACATTCTTCCTTATGAAGGGTAGAATGGCAGCATTTACATCAATATAAATTACAATGGTAGTAAATGCAATGTGCATAATTCATTGATTTCCCAGGGAGAGTCATAAACTTTTAAATATTTTTTTTTAAATAATTTCTGTTGGAAAAATAGTTTAGGAAACAAACGCCTAATTTCATCAGTTCAAAATAGCTTCTCACCGTTACTGTTATAGAGGGTACATTATATACTCTGTAATTTTGATATTATGCCCTGTGGGCCTCTGTCTATAATGGCATAACCAAAAACAAAAACAAGAAAGCCCCATCTAGCTTTGCTTTCCCCTTCTCTTTAGCTCAGTAACTCTACGCTGCAAATATTGCTATATGACTAACTTTCAATGAAATTCTACACTTACATAGATCATGTCCCAATAATGTTAACATAAGCAAAGTTACATTATACATCTGATGCCTTGCTAGAAGTACCAACTTCAGAGCGAAATATAATTTGAACTAGAACTTAGTTTCAAAAACATTTTGGAATCTGGGGCAGTTATCTCAGAACTTCCCAACTTGATGCCCTCCAACTATATCTGGAACTACAGTGGGAAACTCTCAATCTGGGAATTTTAGGAATGGTCGAGCTGGTCAAAGATAAGCTACCCTAAAAGACTAGGAAGGAAGACCATTCTAATACTGTGAAGAAATGACACAGAAAAAGCAACTAGTCAGCTATGTGAGAATTCTGGGGTGGCAGTGAAGTCACATAGCCATACTAAATCAAAAGAGGGAAAGAGAATTAAATATTATGTAGCTTATTTTATCCTAAAGGAGAACGTTCCATTTTTCTTGGAATTCTATCACCCCAGAAATGTCTAAGATACCAGCAATAACCCTATGAGGTGGGTTGGCTGAGAGAGTGTGACTGGCCCAAAGTCACCCAGCTGGCTTTCATGGCTAAGGCGGAACTCTCCCACTTCCTAGGCTAGTGCCTTAATCACGAAACAAACTGGTTCTCTTGTTGGATATGTTGTTTTGTATGATGGAATTTTTTTTAGGGGAAAAGGCTTTATGTTTTATTTAATCTTGTAAAATAATGGAAAATACAAGTTAAAACAGTAATGTTAGTTATTATACTATTATAATTAGTGTAATTAATCTGCCATTGTTGCAATGAATAGTTAGTTTACTATGATAGTTTTACAAGCTAGGTTCCATCCATTCATGATTCCTCTTGGTCTTCCATTCAACCCTGCAATTCATCAAGGCTGCTATTCACCTCCTTGAAAAAATTGAGTTCCTCAGTCATTTGACAAAATCACCAAGGAATTAATTCCTGATAAGTATGCACAAAGCTTAGTGTTTCTACCAAAATCCCATTAACTACATTAAATACTCAGATCAAAATTCAACAGTTTGGCAAGCTATTGACCACCCTCTCATATATGTATACCTGGCTTGAAAGAATTATGAAAGCTACCACCTGTATTTTGCAACTATTGAGTTATTAACCTTTTTTTTCTTGGTCCATTTCAACTTATATTGAATAATTACTTTAAAATGTTTCATGCAGTAATTCTAAAAATGTATGTTATTTTCTCTTATATATGTATATTATATACATAATTATTTCAAAATATATATTACATATATAAAAAGACCCTAGCCTGAAAAGTTTCCAATTACACCAGCTGTGTCCGTCATGAGGGCAGAAAGAGTTGAAGCAAAGTCAAGAGGAAAATAGAATGGGAATGGGAATGAAGAAGGTCAGCCTTACTGAGAGATGAACAGCTGCTGCCAATGATGGCATTGGTGATATCAGACAATGACACAGTTGGAAGCATGTTGGACAGAAATATTGTTATTACATTTAGATTATTAACAACTGCTCCTGTGGGTGATTAGGGCATCCTATTTTCTTGAGACTTAGCCTAGTTTGAAATTTGTCATTCACTATAAGTACAACTTTATAGATGCATATCCATAAGGAAGCCTTGCCACATTCAGTGAGATATACCCTAGAGTGAACAAACAGAAATCTAATTGTCCTTTAGAAAACATCTATTTGCCATCTATTTTTGTCATGTTATTCAATTTTAGCAATTATCAGTTTTATTATCTATATATTTAATATTTAGGTAGAGACAAACCCACTAACCAACAAAATTCTGTATCAAATTACCAGAGGATAGATCAGTAGATGATTGATACATAGACAGATAGACAGACAGATAGATAGATATAGGATTTAACCATTATGAACTAACATAATGTCTGTCTATCTATCTATCTATCTATCTATCTATCTATCTATCTATCTATCTATCTATCTATCTATCTATCTAGTATATAACCCAAGATATGTTTCAATAGATCAAAACATTTATCTAAATTATTTTTATTTCTCCTTTCCATATAAATGAAAACAAATGGTGCTTTTGTATTTACATATCATTATTACTTGACTTAATTATCCCCAAATAACACTATAGAAAGATATATTGAAAAATACTGTATATATATTTTCTGAGGTTTTCAGGAGTGTATGTAGGTCTTTGGTTATTCGGGTTTTCTCCTGTGTAAAATTGGAAGTGTCTTGGCGATGTTTCGACGAAGTCCCATTCGTCATCTTCAGGCTGGTGTTTTCAGCTTCGTGCTCCTCGAAGCATGAAACTGAAAACACCAGCCTGAAGATGACAAATGGGACTTCGTCGAAACGTCGCCAAGACACTTCCAATTTTATATGGGAGAAAACCCAAATAACCAAAGACCTACATACTGTATATAGTGTCCACCACTTAATAATTTGCAAACTAAAATCTAAGTCATTGTCTCTTTTCCAATACATTCCATTTATGCCTGCAAACTACCACAAGCAACCAGAATCAGTTCGGTGTAGTGGTTAAAGAGCCAGTTCAATGCAGTGGTTACGTAGCCTAGAAACCAGAAGACTGTGAAATCTAGTCCCACTTAGGCATGAAAGCCAGCTGGGTGACCTTGGGCCTGTCATTATCTCTCAGCCCAACTCACCTCACAGGATTATTGTTGTGGGCAAAACGGGAGGAGGAAGGAGTCTTGGTATGTTTGCTGCCTTGAGTTACTTATAAAGTAATAAAGGTGAGATAAAAGAAAGATAATAAAACAAAATAAATCTTCTAATAGAGTTTTCCACTCTCACTTTAATTCAGTGTTTCTCAACCTTGACAATTTTAAGGCATGTGGACTTCATCTTCCAGAATTCCAGCCAGCAATGCTGGCTGTGGAATTCTGGGAGTTGAAGTCCACATGCCTTAAAATTGTCAAGGTTGAGAAACACTGCTTTAATTCATATTGAGAAGTAAAGAACAACGTAGAGCAATAGCAGGGACTGCTGAAGTCCTGCTTTACACCCAATGCCCCACAGGAGATGATGAGAGACTTGAGGGCTAAAAGCCGTATTCTAATTCCCAAGCGGTGACAAACTCTGCCCCAGCAGTCAGCTCAGCTGGTTGTTTTGCAAGAAATGTTTGCAAGGTGCTACTCTGTCTGGATCAGATCAACATGATTTTGAATGGTTTGTATTAACCGAAGGACTTCACCTCCTGTTCTCAAGGGATCAGAAATGTGATCTTGACATGGAATTGTAAGGAATTATTTATTGATTTCTGAGGCAATACTCCCCATGACAATTGCTTGCACCACATAATATTTTGAACAGTTAATCTCTGTTGCTATATGCTTCTTCTAAGCATCCTTGTTTTAATACCACACCGCCACTAATACTTCAAGTCAAATAGTGATTATTGCTAAAGGAAAACAGTCCTTCCTGATAAAAATAAGCAAAGGTCAAAAGGATAATTATTATAGCACTTATATCAGCTGCAGTCTTCACTGCATTTCTAATATCACATCGATGTGGCTTAAAATCATCGCCATAGCAACCTAAAATCTATATTGCACTCCAAGCAGCAAATTAACAATGTCGTTTGGGAATATATTAAAAAAGGGGGGGATGAGAGGAGGTGGAAGAAATTTGCATTTACTTGAAAATGGTACTCTTAGTGAATATTTTATGGTATAAGTTGACTGCCAGAAGAGAGAAATCCACAGATTGTGTCCCTGGTCACTTCCTCTGGATTTGTGATCAGCATATTTCTAATACAATGTTCTTCCTCTCAGACAGAAATCAAATAATTATGAGCCTTGCTTTCTTGCCTTGAGCATGACTCCTTCACAAGCATTCCTATGAAACTACCCACCCTCTTGGCTATGGTGAAGCCAGGCTAAATGAAAGGTAGAAGAAATATCTGTTTACAAAGATGCTTATTCAAATATCATAGGCATAGACTTTTAAATATTTGTCACAGAAGGGCCACATGACTATGATATCAGTCATTAAAAGTGACAGTGCTAAGAGATTCATCAGTGTATTCTCATGTAGGTGTGCTTGGAGTTACACATGTTTAATACATTGAACACGCTCAATTTCATTGTTAGCAATGTAGCAACCAACACAGCATTTCTTTTTTTTAGAACACAAACAAGACAAAGAAGTCTCCTTTTATTTTTTTAAGAATGGCTGTAATGTAATACCAAATTCTCATAAAGTAAAGGGCTGTTGGATGTTATAGAGCAAGAGGGCTCTAAATCAGAAGGGTTCTAGATCAGGAATGCTTAGGCCCCTAGGGTTCCTGCAGAACTTGGTGGAGTTTCATGAGAGCCTAAGCCACCTCCATTCCTACCCGAACTTAAAAGTGCACTTGAATGCAG